CAAATCCAACCTCCGGTCGTCGTCGTCGTCTTATTTCGTCATCGTATCTTAAGTTCCCTATAGGCGGATTCATGCTGACGTCATTGTTTACATTTTTGCTCATTTGCATACGGCTTTGCGTAAAGAAGGAAGCATGTTAGATACAAATTGACTTCAGGCAGCTAAAGAGCTAGAAAACCTTAGTACATGGTGAAATTTTTAGCTCTTTGGGTGTAATATTCAAGGAGAAATAGTCTATCAAAAACTGAAAAATTTCTGGGTGGCAAAAGCGCTACTGAGCTCATACATTCTATGTAAAATTTTGAGTTTTTAAACCCGTGTTGCACAAAAAGTATTCAATGCATCAGGCTTGTATTCATTGGCCGAGTTAATCGTACTTTGACCTTTCGATATTCAGATCTGATTTATTTTTAGCTCCATCAGAAACCGAATTTCTTTTGCTAATGAGGCAAATATTGTAAACAAGGATTCCCCTATACGATCATATTAGTAGTGCTCAAATTGAACTTCTGGTAACCAATCACTTTCAAGAAATTTGGTACAGTTTTGATTTTTGCAGAACTCGTGTGCACGTGACTAAACCCTTCTCACTTAACAGGGTTATTTTGATGGTGTACGTATGGAACTGGCACAATACAATATCCATGTACAGACGGTCCTTCCAGGGCCCGTTGCGTCGCAAGTCACTGATAAGGCTTTCACAGAGGACATCAACATTGTATGGAAACAAATTTATTTTAAGTTTAATTAGTAATGGGGCTTGCTCTACGCATGGATGGAACCAGAAATTTTGCTAAGGGTCAAGACTTTGAATCAGAAAACACAGATTTCTTTTTATCTACATAAGCCGTATTAAGCTTCCCGAAATTTCACGAGAAGGTAGTTTGAATACATGATAACTTAAGTTGTGATTTGTGATTCTATCGTTGCAAAAATTTTGTCTGAAAAAAAAGTGGCAGTCTGATAAAGGAGGTCCAGATCCCCAGTCGCTCCCCCTGGATCTACCACTGCCACGATACCCCTTTTTTTTTTAGAGGGGTGAGGTGGGGGAAAGGGGGAACCCCTCATCTAAGACTTCGGTACCGTGTACTTAAAATAGATGCCATAAATACATTTTTTTGTTTCCTGCTGACCAAAAATTTCTCGCACGTAAGCTTTATCTCCAGTGGAGTGCATTGTCTGATGTATTATAAAATTAACTTTGTTGCTAGTTTGCTCTAAGAATTTCTTCCTTGTTCAATGTCTGTTTTGTTTAAGGAGTACAAAGACTCGCCAGGATTTATCAAGGTAGACTTTCCAGTAATGCCGACTGAACGCTGTGCGAAACTTATGGTGATCGGGATGGCAAACAACTTGGATGAAGTATGGATCTCAGAGAACCCGATGCTGCTAGCTACTTACATGAAACAGTACTTTCCA